ATGAACCACTAACAGGGCATTGGTGCTTGCAGCAATGACAATTAGGAGACACAAGTTAGAAATGAAATAACACCTACCAGATCTTTACTGACTTTAATTGGTTCCTTAAAAACGGTCCAGACCACCGCCTCATTACAAGCGGGGGTTGTCAAGGATCCGAGGTAGCGGTAATACTTAGTGCGATTCACACCAACGAGCAGGTCGTCCAGGGAAAACCCGGCAGCAATGGAAACTTTCTGGCCTGAGGACAGAAACAATATGAAGGAACTAGGAACTATAAATTACAGAATTTAGAGGCAGAAACAGGAGAGGAGGTTGTTTGTTTGTTTGTTTTTGTTTTGGTTCTTTTTTTTGTGTGTGTGTGTGTGTGTGGGGGGGGGGGTTACCAAAAATGTTACCTTTTTGTGTGATGTTGGCCAAGTAAGAGGTCAAATTGCGCCAGCTCTGTGGCTGGCCAGTTGAGTTGCCTGGCATTACCTGCAAAAAAAGTTTATTGACTACATTGTCATACCCATCTGTATACCCATGTGTAAACAAAATACCAACAACACCCCCCACCTACCCACCCCAAAAACACACACACACACACACATATACACACACACAGACACACACACAACAATGACAATGCAGTGATTCCAAAACAGAATAACACAGCAGGCATTAAATCATCTCGTGCGCTGTTTCTCTTACCTCAATGAAGAAACCAAGAGCTGCGAGTCCGGTGGAGTCTTTGACGGCTAGACTTGTATTCCCACTGTAGGATGACTTGCTGTTCACAATATGCAGCTGGGAAAATTCATAAATTCATAAAGATCATACAGATGTTTGTTTGTTTATTTTATTTATTTATTTATTTTACAATTTAATATGTACAAGATAAAAGTACAAAATAAACGTTAAAAAAATCTGTACCTCCATAGGATAGCGCTTTCCATCCACTGTGTGCTCTGAGCCGGGCACAGAGGAGCCGTTGCCCCAGTGCAAGTGAAACTGCAGGGTGTCGTATTGCTCGGACAGGTCCCCTCCTGAAATCCTAACTCCTCTGTTAAGGGTCACTTTGACTGGAAGAACAACAAAAAACAAAAACATGGTGAAGTTGCACATAACCTGAAAGAAGTAAGAAGAAATGTTCAGGTCCAAGGCAGTTTAATTGTAGAGAAGAGAGGGGCGCTGAAATCCAAGTAAGACATGTTGTCTTTTTTTTCTTTTTCAAATTATTACTACTATTATTATTATCTAAAAAACACGAGATGACACTTTTGTAGCCATACACCCGGTGCTTACCTGTGTCGCCAGTATTTTCTATGGATGTCATTGCGGAGGTGTCATCATACTTTACAAAAGTGAATTCAGTTAGTTTGTTGTTCGGTGTGGCTGATGCTGAGACGATGTCAATGGGTGACTGTCGACTGCCGCTGCAATAGTGGGGGGAAACCTTTGACCAGGTTGTGTCATCTATAAGCAGAAAGGGCACATAAAGTCACCGGAGAGCGGTCACCCAGTGGGCAACATGGAATAGATAATGGAGATATTGGGTACTTACTGCAGGATGGGAGGTGATAACACCAGACTGGATGAAAAAAAGATGGGGTTAAAACAGGACATTCAGATTCCCTTATGTAGACAAAAAGCTCTTAAGTGAATACACACCTATAGCGTCCGATGCGCAGTGAGCGGTGGGTAGGACGCACACAACAAACGCAACAACTTTAAACCACTCCATCTGAAAAGAGCAAAAACGCCACATTGTTTAGAATCGCACATATTTAAAAAAAAAAATACATTAAATTAAATTAAAATACTTTTAAAAAATGTAAAACACAGAAATAAATGAATGAATTTATTAATTAACATGTTACTGTATGGAATGACAAATTTACATATATAAAAACTTTCACCATTCAATTCTAAAAATTAACTAATGCTAAAATTTCAAATGCTGCAGTTAATAGAGAAAAGAATGCAACAAATGCAGGGTTCTAACTGTAGCCTAATTCTTGCTTCTGACCACTTCACCTGAGCAGCACAGTGTCTTACCTTTAATGCACCTGTGCCTCCGTTCAGCCTGTTTTCAGATGCAGCTCACCTCACCCTCCCTCTTTTTATTCCCTCAGTGCATCCTGCAGCTGGCTGGACACCGCCTCCATGTGACATGTGAGTTGGTCTTTATCTCTCCGCAATAATTTCGCGGAAGTACAACGGAGTATTAATGCGACATTAAGAAAACAAAAATACATTATCGATAATTTTGAGAATAAAGTCGAAATTTCGAGTTTAAATTCGTAATTCTATTTTTTTTTAAAAAAGTCGCGACGTATAGATTATACTCGTTATTTCAAGACAAAGTGGAATCATACTTCAGAATCGGAAATACTTTTTCTTTTGGCACATTCACAAAGTGTGGGTGTCATTATAGGGAAGTTGGAAATATGAAGAAAACTGCACCTTGGGCAGACGGAAAAAACACACAACTTTGGACAGAAAGGTTACGTAAAGGTTATTACAGCCTCGTGCAATAAATATGATGCATGTTTTATAACAAGACGTGTGATAAATTTAATCCAAACAAGGCATTTTGTAAAGAGTACAGCAAACTTGTCCTTCAAAATAGTTTCGACTTCAATCTCAAAATAATCAAAATTAAAGTTTTTCTTAATGTGGCCTTAATACTGCGTCGTGATGATTAATGATCTCTCTTTTTCATTTATTGTTTTACACAAGCAGGAACTGTGCGGTGAACAAGAATGAAAACCGTTTGACAAAGAGGGAGATTGTTTTATCATCGGTTTTTTTAATCATATTCTATTTGTGTTTTCGTGTGATTGTGTCGATTCATGAATAATAAGACGATTTAATGCGACTCACTGCTAAAACAACATATCAGTCTTTGCCTTGGTAGGACTGTTCCTAGACACCCAGTAGATAATTCCAGACAGCATGTTTTCCATCATTCAGGAGCATTTATGCTTTGATCTGCATGATTTTTTTTCTTTTGTTTTTCTTGAAAGGTGACAGGTGTGAATGCATGACAGTTAAGTGCAGGTGACAGCTTGGGTTTTGAGTATAGATCCATCAATAGTGTTTTCAATGCCAACATGTTTGTTTTAATTAAATGACAAACATTGCAACTAACCAGAATGCTATGTGGGTAATTATACTAACAAGTAATCTTAGATCAAAGATACAGTTTCTTCTTCTTGAAAGATCCTGGGAAGCTGGTTGAACACACAAAGCTTTGCAATACGATAGACATATTGATAGACAGTTCGAGTGTGTTATCACCCATCCAAATCAGTAACAGGAAGACAGCAGCATCTGATTGAGAGTTGTTGCTGTCATTAAAATGGAATGTTGTTTTTCAGTTTTTCAAATTTCCCACAACCGGTTTTTAGTGAACACATGTGATGCTGATATTTCCTGCATACATGTAACCAGGAACCACAGCAGCCTGTTTGTCAGCTTCACTCTTCTGTCAAGAGTAATCAAAGCCATTCAGTTCACAATTATGCCTTGTGTTAATAATTATTTCATAATTGGTGGGATGGGGGTGTTAGAAAGCAAAACCTGATTCTCAGCTCAAGCCACCTTCTTCCATTGTTCAATTGTCCAGTACAGACAGTCCCATCAGCAATGTAGGTTCTTTTGGTGGTCTTACACATTTTATGTATCTTGACCAGCTTTTCATTGTGGCATGAAGCCAGCATATATTTTTGTGCTCACAACTCTAACATCATCTATGATGGTTATTCTAATAAATCCTGAAGCTACTGTTTTTTGTTTTTATTTTTATATAGATTCAGTTTCTGGGTGTGTTTTGAGATTATGACATTTTAATGGCTTATTGCCCATTTCAACGTCATAGAATATGATGTGGCTTCTTTCAGCTTTTGTTGGATTAAGCATGTTTCGACCAGTGCTGGAGATTATGACTTGTTCTATTCATTGAAGGGAACAATGTAAGTTTGTAGTTTTGATACATCAAAATATCAGATTTAAACTTCAGTGTTTTGTTGCCAGGGTGTTGTGAGATTACGAGTCAGTGTTAAATGCATCATTTAAAGCTGAAACACTCAGCTGCCTTAATCACTGCCTATGTGTTTTTTGTATGTTTGCTCATATATGGAAGCATATATGGATGTTTTTTGGGGGAAGTGACCTGCTAACCTTTGCAAATGCTGCATGCTCAAGTGTTTCACAAACTAATTTATTGCAGTCCATTAAACACTTGGGGATCTGCGTACATTCAGAACTTTTTGTGCATACCAAATATATCATGTATATCTGTGTTTTCAAGATCCCTTGAACAACTTATACATTCTTTAACTTTGTCTTTGCAAAGAGGTCAAATAACAGTACAGTGCACCACATTCTTAGTGGCTTTATAGATTAAGAATAACCAGCAAAGAATTATTTATAGACACAAGTTATGGTCACATATTATCTCTTTAATTTATGGGCAAGCACTTGTCAGAGACCCTATATATTTCTGAAACATGCACTGAAGTTAACATGACTGAAGTACCTCTAACACTTGGTTTTGAAAATCCACAGGTTGTTGATGTGTCTTTAAGTGTTACATTTTTCCTTTATCTTCCTCACAAGAAATCTGGAGGAAGCAAGGGAGAGGGGAATTCTAGAAATTTAGACTGGTGAAAAGTTCAAAGTTAGGTATATTTTTCTAGCATGGTTTTTCAAGAGGCTTCACCAAACAGAATTAAGTAAGTTATATGATACGTTTAAAAAAAAAAAAGGTTAGATAAGGGTTGAATAAATTTCTAAAAACTGTGTCTTAAACCCAACGCACAAATGTCTATTTACAAAGAAATAAAAGCACTTCTGATCATTTATTGATGTTACATGTAATACATTTAATTATATTCCAGGAAATGACAGATAAAATACTTCCTTAATTAAGTTTGCAAGTATCATTTTTTGGGCTAAAGTTTGGAATGCTAAGTTGTTCAGTTTTACATTTTGATGAGATCAAAAGAACATCTTATGAAAATTCAGTATTACTCATGCTTAATTTGATCTTGGGTTTTAGCATAAAGGAAGTCCTTTGTTTAAAAAAACAAAAAACAAACTACCGGCTTGATTGATTAAAAAAAAGACTATTGTCATTATTCCCCTAAATGAAAAAACAATGCAAAAAGGATACAGTCGGAACATTCATTCCTTGTATTGTTTAGTATTTCCTGTATTAAAAGATTATAAGTAGACAAAACATGAAACCAGGAAACCTTCCATTTAGCCAGGTAAGCTTGGCACAGACAAGAGCCAAATCTCAGCATTTTCCACTCCCCCCTTTTGATCATTCATTGATTGTTTATCACATCTACAAATATGAAACAACAGAACTGTTTTCAGATGGAATAGGCACTGTCCGTGTGTAGCAATGGTTATGAGAAATAAAAACAGATTAAAAAAAATGCATTTTGAACTGAAACATCTGACTCTTGAAATTGGGATTTAGTCAGGTCAGTCAGATACCTATTCCACCCATTATGTGTTTATGCACCTCTTTGCATATTGGTTATTATCCTGTCTTCATCCACTCAGCCCCACCAGTCATGTCAGATGACTGCCCCTCCCTGAGCCTGGTTCTGTTGGAAGTTTCTTCCTGTAAAAAGGGACGTTTTCCTTCCCACTGTAGTAAATTGAATTGAATTGAATTGAATTGAATTGAATTGAATTGAATTGAATTGAATTGAATTGAATTGAACAAAATAAACACTGGACATAATACGACTGGTGACATTTTTAGTTTATAATGGTGGTTGGATGTGCAAGGTGAAAAACTAAGTACTTCATTCTTAGTTTTTCCGTGGTGCAAAAAGGAAACTAGTAAGAAAACAATAAGGTGCTTGTAGATAGCAAACTTTGATACATCAAAAAAAGTTAAAGTGATTTGCTTTTCTCCTGAGCATTTTCCTTAGCCTTTTTTTGTCCCTTCGACACATTTTTTAAAAAAAATGTATTTTCTTTACTTTTATCTCTTTTACTTTCTAGTTTTTCTTACAACTCTGTTAGTAGTCTCGGACTGAAATTTCCTCCTTGTGGGAACACAAAATGTGTTACTCAAACATGCTGTAATTTCATCAACCAATGCATCTTAAAAGAATGTGCCCATAGGTTACTATTTCAGCTCAGAGTTCTGGGAGCTATGGAAGTTAATCACAGCCACTCTTATTTTCTCATGTTCAGATACACATTGTACTAAGAAACTTTATTAATACAGTCCAAAATACTAATTCAAACTACTTTAATGGAAAATGGACTGGTTTTTATATGGCACCTTTTTACTCTACCTTTGAGTGCTCCTGAAGCACTCAAAGCCACGAACCACCAACCTTCCTATTAGTAGATGAGGCCTCTCTTCCGCCTGTA